TTTTTTTTTTTTTCAAAACCAAAATTAGATAATTAGTTTCTATGACATATCAAATTCCTTAAAATTGCATAAAAGATTCTATAATCATAATAAAATAATATTAATATTTTCAATTAATTAATTGTTCATGGTCACATAAAATAACCAAAACTATATTATTCATTGTATTTTATACAATCAATATAGTGATTCATATATAAGTTATGATATTGTATTTGCAGTTGTGTATATGCACAAGATCGATTATCATGTTTTATAATTAAAATATATATTTACTATAAATATTATAGTTCTATTTAATTTAATTATAAAGCATGATATTTTATTATAAAAGCATGTAAATTAATTAAAAAATATATATAATTGTCTAGGCAAACTAATACTAGTAATATGCTAATAGTATCACCGTTTTGATATTAGTACCCTAACTTATGTAAAATTTGCAGCTAGCTTCTAATTTGAAGGATTCTAATATCCAGTTTTGCTATCTAATATCAGTACCTGACTTGGGTGAAATTATAGAGTTATAGCTCCATTAACCCACCTACACTTACCAATTTATTTAATTACCAATTAGAATTGCTTGACATGGTACCTAAATAAATTGGTACGTTTATTTAAAATGATAAATAATATAATAAAATACAACGAGTTCTACTAATTATAAGAAAAAAGGTGAATAAGTTGATTAAAAGTATGACAAATGAATGAGTAGAGGTAATAAACGAAACGGACTGCTTGTTAGTTCGACTCTTAAGGCTTTGAATTTGGCTTGTTTAGAACCCATTCAGTTGGAGTTGGCTCTTTAAGTTTTCTGAACTCGAGTTGAACTCGTTTAAATCCTATTTAGTTAATTTAGCTCGTTAAGATTCGTTAAAACTCGAAAATATGATATATATGTATTTTTCCATAACTCAGCTTGTTAAGATTTTATATTGATAATTGACCAACGAACTAAGCTCAAACTCGTTCATCGACTCGGTTCGATAAAAGCTTAAGTTTGATAATTGATAAACGAATTGAGCTCGAACTCATTTACCGACTTGGTTTGATAAAGGCTCAACTCCGAGGTTAAATGAACTTATTTACTTCAAACACTTAAAAGCATAGTTTTTAAGCCATGTCCCATAATTGACTCAGACAGACATTTGGATAACCGGTTCAATCATCGGGTTATCAGGTCAATTGCTAAATCCTATAATTAACTTTAAAAATTTTAATCATATAAATAATATTTTTTATCATATAAATATAAATTTTGTATATCAAAGTGTTAATAATATTGTATATCATAATTAATATACAATTTATCTAGTTGATATGTATATGAGCAAAATAACACGATAACTAGTTTGAAAAATGTTACAAGTACATAATATGTACATAGAGATGCACATTACACTCACATGGCGTGAACCACCTGATTCTTTATTATTGGTAGGACCCACTCAGTGTGTGTTACGTACACTATTATGTACCTATAGCATTTCTCAGCTAGTTTTAACATTCGGAATTTATCTTAGTTGACACCATAAACTAATTCTAACTAGTTTGATCATTTAGAAA